CTCGCCCCACCCACCCACCAGGCTGGTGGGTGGGTAGGTCGGTAGGCGTGACCAGTGGGCAGCTGTCTCTGGATGGAAACAAAGGAATAGGTAGGTAGGTAGGTCGGTGCGATCGCGGTACTGCAATGAATCGAAAAGACGCCAGGTAGGTGGGTAGGTAGGCAGCTTCAACAGTAATAGTGGACGAATCTCAGAAAAACGCTAAACACAACGCAGCGGGTTCGGTCAAATGTCGTCTGTCCAAAACCAACCAACCAACCAACCGACCAACCCACCGGAATTTAGGCCCGCAGGCCCACGCCTATTGCATGTTTGTCATGCTTGTCTGGCATGACTCTTAGATCTGTCATGCACGTTACCCAAGAGCTCCATTCTTCTGTGATGCAGGAACGCATTTCGTCGTGCAGAATAGGCAACACCTAGAAGCTCAGAAACTTGTCATGCTGAGCCAGCATTTGTGGCCTCATCTACTTGAGACGCCACCCAGCATCACAAGTTTCTAGACCCAGACATTTTATACATTTGATACTTCAAATACGCGTACGTTTTGTCCAAGTCGTCATTTACTAACACCTATGCATTGCAAAAGTACCGTAGTCGTACTCGGATAAATGCATTACAAATTTCCTCAGCATGAGAAATAAAGTTTGTAATGCGGCTTTACCTTAAGAAAAAGATTTGTAATGCATGATTGCAAGATCAAATACTACAATTACGATACTTTTGCAATCCCATAAAACCGCGTCCCAGAAGTCCTGTTTTTCCTTGTACTCCATCTCAATTATCCCACGGAAAAAACCAGGCAAGGGAGAATTGTAATGCAAAAATGAATACACAGAAAAATCTGTCATCCTGGGCGGCCCCATAGCATGATGCTGTGCAGGATATGCAATACAGATATTTTCTCCTAAGTGTATTTTTGCATTACAAATGTGACTAACCTGCTTTTTTTCTGTGTGATATCCGTCTTCGCGTTGCCCAGCCGGGTTTGGATTTTTTCCTCGCTTTCCGTCCCGCGCGACCGCAACCGCTGCTCGAGGATTTCCAGGTCTGGGGGGGCGACAAAGATTATCAAATGCAGATATGTCTAGGTCTGGAAATCTGTGATGCTGATTTGCTGCTGATTGCAACGCTTGCCATGGCAGCCAAGCATGACAAGTTTTTGAAACTTTTTTTGATGTCTAGCACGCATTACAAATTGCGTTTTTGCATGACAAAGGAAGCGGCTCTTCTGCTGCTCATGCAACACAGGTCTTCCAAGAATGCAAGACACGCATTACAAGTTCCAGTTTTCCAGACCCAGACATATTTGCACTTCATAAAGATGTAGCAGGTGCGACTGTTTATCTGCGTGTTCTGTTTCAGCGAATCCACGCCCTGCACATCGATGTCGAGAATGCAGCGTTTGTCCTGCATCACCTTCTCAACCGCTTCCAAACTGGTCCCGTAGATTTTGTCGTGCACGAACGCGTACTCCAAAAGGTATGCATCGCAAAAGTACTGTCGCACTAGTACAGACGATTAATTGCAGATACTTATGCATCACAATTTTTTTTCGCAAGCTAAATCAGCAAGACAAATTCCATGTGTCATGCTGAGCTAATTTGTATTGCAATTACCACTTCAACTTCTACCAGTACGATCATATAGTACTTTTGCAATTCATATCATCTCCTCATTCGCAATCTTCTTTTCCATCAGCTATCAAATGGAAAAATGTCTGGGTCTGGAAGATTGCCAGGTTTGTCATGCACATTTTGCATGACTCCTGATGTCTGTGATGCATGCCCTAGCATCACAGACTTTGTGAGAGCTTCCTGATGCCTATACCGCATGACAAATGCTCTTTCCGTGTAGCAAGACTTGGACTCTATTTGCTGCTCATGCAATACAGATTTTTTTAGAATCTAAAATCAGCATGACAAGTTGGATTCTTCCAGACCCAGACATTTTTACAGGTGATATCACCTCCTTGGTCACAAAATTGTAGTCGACACCGTTTTGCTCCCCGGTACGTGGTATCCTGTGCAAAAGTATCGTAATCTCGTACTAATTGCTTTTATGCATTACAAATCTTCTTCTTAAGGAAAATCCGCATTACAAATTTAATTTGTAATGCTGAGCCAATTTGTCATGCAATTCGTACTATTACGATTCTTTTGCAATGCATACGTGGGGCGCGCGTCGTGTGGGAGACCGAAAAACCGTACTCGGTTGGGTACTCCTTCATCAACTTCTTGACCAAACTGCGTATCAAATGCAAATATGTCTGGGTCTGGAAACTTGTGCTGCTGGGTGGCGTATCATGAGGAGGCCACAAGTGCTGGCTCAGCATGACAAGTCTCTGAGCTTCAGCTTCTTTGTGTTACCTATTCTGCATGACAAACTGCGTTTCTGCATGATAGAAAAGTGGGGCTCTTGGGTACTTAGGGCGCATGACAGATTTATGAGTCATGCCAGACAAGCATGACAAACATGCATTCTTCCAGACCCAGACATATTTGCAATGCATACTGCTTTTCCCGGCACCACTGGGTCCGCACATCACGATCAGGCGGCTGTTCGCGAGGATGATGCGGGATTTTTCTCTGCTGCGGGCTATGACAGTTGGAAAAGGGTCATACTAGCATAGAACTGCTGCTGTTGTGCCAGCTGGTATCAACGGAGAGAATACACTTCAGTGCATCAAATTGTAGTCTTTTTTGCATGCAATGTACCAGCACAAAAACTACGTGCAGAAAAAAAATGTATCTTCGACACAATCAGCGTGTATATGATAGTTTGCTTCTCATCTTCCTCTGTCATACCACTTGACCCGTCGACATTTGTACCGCTGACCCGCGAAATGGTTGCGGCGGCCTTTGACGCCTCAAGCCCGCGGTTGCCCATTTTGATTTTCTCTTGGCTTTTATAGCGTTCTTTCTAATGTCGCGATCGTGCACGTACCAGCCTATTTTTGGTGGGAAATGGATTTTTGGGTGAACAACTTTCTTTGCGTTATTGTCATATCATCCATCTGCCGCACTTCTAGTACGTAGCGCTCAGTCACATCAAGGTTACAGTCGCTGCGGGTGGTGTTTGATGATAAAACTATTCGTTGTCGTTACGTACTGCGAATGGTGCCAAATATTTTTAAAGTGCCCGAAAACAGACCATGGCTCTGGCACAGGAAAAGGCCAGCATTTTGTTGTTACGAGGCGAGCATTTTGTTGTGGATGTGGTTTTGCTGGAAATAAACTAAATATTTCTTCTTTCGATCCCGTTCGTGTGTAGCAATCGAAAATCCAGGCTCGATTCCCCAGATCCAATAGCGCACGCCGGTGGTCAAGGTTGTAGTGCCACGATATTTTTACAAGGTGTACGCGAAGATCGAAGTGCGTCCCTCATTCGTTTGCACGAGAACCTGATTGCATTTTCAGGAACACGGAGAACTCACTACCATTCATCTTCTTGGCCGGTGAAAATTAATCCGTGCACACGGTGAATCAATGCGCGATAAATCAAATAGAAATAGTACACTGCGCGAGGGAAACAGCTGCGAAGAGCAAGAAATAAAGCGATGAACATCATGCTTGTCACAAAAAAAGAGGCGTTTACACTGCACTTCTGCGGCTTTTGCCACCGCGTTTCCTTTCTATGGCTTTCGAATTTTCACTCGTCTACTTAGCTTGTTCTTCACGTACACTTTTTCATTGCCGTCTGATCTTACACTTTAGTTCGTTCAAATATCTTCAAGAATTCGGTCGTTCTCTTTTTGTGCAACAAAAGTTTCGAATGCTGCTATTTTCTGGCGCCGTTCTTATACCAACCACTGCGGCTGTACGTATAGTACCTTCCTATTTCAGAAGAAAAGTTCTTGCCACTTAAAACGCGAAAAACGTCACTCGCAATAAAATGAAGCGTACGACAGTTGCGGTCTCCTCCTCAGAGGGCAAATTCTCCTCAGAGGGCAAATCTTACATTTTCACCAATTTTTTACCTCTGCGAAGACTATTTATATTTTCTACTCTTTCTATAAATTTTTCTAGTTTTGGTATAAAATCATTCCACAGCAACGACGCAAGATGCAGAATCAGGATTCCCGTAAGCAAAAATAAACCTACTTACCTCACGAACGACTGTGAATTCGACGGAGGCGAAAAAGCTATGAATTCAGTTGTGTACCTGCAGATGCCAATGGCCGTCGCCCGGCCCTTCAAAATACAGTGTGTAGTGACGACACGAGTATGGGCACACACAGCAGCTTCGTCACCCATCACACACAGCAGCTTCATCAAGTGGCTTTAGGCTGCCATCGGGAAACTTCATACGAATTCGATTCAGGCGCTGTTGCGTTGACATTTCCGGCGCGTGTGGCGAGTCTGCTGGCTTTCTCGCGTTGAGCTCCGCAAGTGTCATCGAACTCGGCTGTAGCAAAAAGGCTTGCGGCCTTGTGGCATCTACGCATTCCGCAAGAAACTGAGGGCCTACCTCGGTCTCATTGTAGAAACCCTGGCAATTGGCACTTGCTTGCCTAAACCCCTCCTTGTTTTGCGGGTACACATCAGTCGTCCGCTTCGCGATCGCAAGGGCTACCACGTCTTCTGTCGAGGTAAACCCGAGTCCACCGGGGCCCGAGTATTTCATTTCCTGAGGCATGTCGGTCAAGATGCCCGGCGTAGCTTTCCTGGCCGGGCCGTCTACCAAGAGTGGGTCCATCTTGTTCAGATGCTTCAAAGTCACACGGAGTCCATCATGCTGTGTCACATCGCGCTTCATTCTCGGCGACAGATCGTCAAAGTTCGACAGGACCCGTTTCACTATCGGCGTGACAAAAACTACCGCTACTCCTTTTCTTGTAAATACGAAATGTCTCGCTCGACCCTGACCCTGCAGTAAGAATGCAAATTTGAAATTTGGCAGGGGTGTACGAAGTTGCGACGTACGCAAAAATAACGTCGGAAACATGATATGGTGCGGGAATCTTAGCTCAACATGCTGAGTAGAGGAGGATGCAGTAGATGAAAGGGGCAGGTGGTAGTTTTTTTGCCCGAATCATAACTCGTGTAATTCCACTGCTAGGATCCGTTTCTTGCTGCACTGGCAGTCGACCAGTTCCGTTTCCGTGCTGCACCGCGTGATCGCCGGCGTGAAAATCAATGTCTCTGGAGCATTTGTGCCGCAAAATACCGTCGCAACCAGGCAGCGGCTTCCCATTTTTGTCGAAGAGGTGCTCGGCCCGGACCGGAGAGACCGGGTCGCCACAGATGTCGTGCACGTAGCTATGGGTCGTTGACGCGCTTGCGTTACTAGCGCCAGGCAGCGCCAACGCCGGCTGCGCAATTGCATGGGGAAAGTGGGCCGTGACTTTTCCCTCTGCACTATGGATTGCAAATATGTGGTCTGGGTCTGGAAACTTGCATTGCTGAAGAATGGTCATGCTCATGGTTGAGTGCGCATTTAAGTGCAGCGAAGCATAGCAATTTTTTCAAACGCTTTCTGTTTCTCATGCGCAGGACGCATTACAAACTGCGATTTTACATGACGAAAGTGTGTCGCTTTTGCTGTTTAGTATGCAACACAGATTTTTCAGGAATGCGACACACGCAATACAGGTTCAATCTTTCCAGACCCAGACACATTTCCAGTTGATATGCACCTCTGTCGTGTGCATCGGCAAGCGTTTTCGTCAAGATCCTGGTGGCGCGTTCGGTATGGATTGCAAACATGTCTGGGTCTGGAAATTTGTAGTGCTAAATTATTTTTTTTTGCAAGAGGGGGCGGATCACGGCCCTCTTTAGATGGGCTAACCAGGCTACGGAATCATCATCACTACAATGCAAGGAAAGAAAAATTGTTGACCCCCCGGATTCGATGCCTTGCAGCAGTTGCGGACACACGGACTGCACCTTTCAAACCCGACCGCATGGGACGCGCTCCGCCTATGGAAGACAACAGCGGCTTTTGCTTTTTGTTTTTGAATTGTTCTGCTCATCGAGAGGAAGAGAGCACTAGAAGATCTGCTGGGGCCTAGCAGGCCTAAAAAAAAAACTATGCAAGAGCCTCCACATTAGCTTGGACTTGGTAGAGCAATTCATAAACTCTGCAAGTCGCAGCGATGTTCTATATATCAGCGCCGTTCGTTGGTCTTGTCTGGTCTCCTCGTCGGTACTCTGACTTGCCCCCTTCCAGTGTCTCTCGCCCTTACAAAAGTCGCTCTCTCGCCCTTAAAAAAGTCGCATTTTGATTGGAGTTGTAACGCATATCAATAGCACAGGTGTCCGCGCTGCCGGGGACTCAAGTTTTATTGCCCTCTATGAGTGTCTGGCAGCTGCACCAAGACCCTTTTTCTACTCAGCAATCGAGGCGCATCCGCTGTCCTCCCATAGGGTTAATGAATGTGGCCAACCCAGTCATCATACTTTCTACAGCATCCAGTCTACTGCCTGCGGCTGTGGGCCTTCATGCATATGAGACAGAGTCAAACCTGAGTATTTGGAGTATGCAATAAGTTATCCCCGAGAAAAAAAAAAGCTTTAAGTTTTAAGAGAATCAACAAGGAAACATCACGCAAGCGCCTCCCCTTCATCGGGAAGGTGCTTTTATCTTGTCGTGTATTTTGTTTGCCTTTTCCTGCTATGGTGCTAGGCACCCGAAAGAAACAAACTGACCCCTAATCGCAGGCATCACGAGGGACGAAAGAGAAGCAAGACGCGCGTCATATTCGGGGACCCACCGATGTAAACAGCAACGACAAGACAGATACTTCCTTGCTATTTGTATTTCTTACTACCCACGGATATTTTTGTTCTTTACGACCCTGCTAAATCTAAATCATGTAAATCAATCTCAATTCAAGTTGTAATGCTAAATCAATGTGAATGATAGCCGAACTGCAATACGCCGTCAAGCATGACAAACTTTTTAGCTCCTGCCATGACTATGTGCTGCGTATTCCGCATGGCAAATCTCGTGCGCATGCATCACAGATTCTCGTGTCATCTCAAACATGCATGAGAGGTCCTTCAATTTTCCAGACCCCGACAGATTTGCACTGAATATTTGGGCAGATCGAGCAACTCGTCGCGGAGTGGCGCCGCGCTGAGCACCTTTTCGTAACTTTCGGTGGCTTCGTCGGTTGGTGTCGTGTGGCGAAATAATTTCTTACGGGAATCTCCCGTTTTGCCGATGAACCCCGCGTTTATCAAATCGCAGTATTCCAGATCCTTTGGGGCCCCCTCGTACATTAATATTTGGTTGCCATCTTCGGTCCTCTTGACCGGAAGAGGGTCAAAAGGCTTGTAATTGTATGCCTTGGCTATCAAAAGGAAAAATACTCCCTCCCCATATCAAAACGAAGTTTCTGATGCTGGATTTGCGTACGCAAATCCGACTTGTCTTGCAGTAAAACACTGCGGCCAGATCCCCAGCCCAGATAGCAGCGTTTGGGCCTAGTTGTTTAGCATTGCAAACGGCTACCCTCTAGGACCAATAGCATGCCAAATCGCTTCCACAATGGGGCGGATGCCTCTGCACTTGTCTTCTTGCAAGACAAACCTGATCTGTGGTCACAAATCAGCAACACAAATTTTCGGAAACACAGCTTTTCAATATGGGGAGGGGGGATTTTTTCTCTCAATATTGGTCCCGTCCTCAGCTTTATTTTCCTCCACTTTGCCCCGCAACTCACTTACAAGCTTGTATCCGAAGTAAAAACGTCCCTACCCCAGAGTTGTCATGCTAAACAGAAGTGCGGCACACTTTGGCTCCTCCTTTGTAAACGGCCGCAGATGGCTGTCACGCAGGGAAGGTAGGTCAGGCGGACACCGAAGTGCCATCACCATCATCTCCCGGCCACGATACCAACTCGCCAACTATACCAACCTTTTTGCCTCACACTTTCGCCAACAACGCCAACAATTCCTACTCGCGACATGAATTCCTACCCCAGAGTTGTCATGCAAATGCGCAATGACGGGAACATTTGTAATGAACAGCTCCACGGGTGGCATTTGCAGTCGTGTAATGCTGTAAACAGGATGAGAAAGTGGCTTTCTGATGCGGCTTCCCTTGCCAACCAGCACTACACTTCAGAAGGAAACTTGTCATGCACAGCGCCCAGAACTTGGAGACTTGTGTTGCTAGATTCCCAACTTGACTATGGGGTCGGGACGTTTTTGCTTAGGATAGCTTGCTCCACTTGTTCATCTCTTCCAGTTCTTTAGCTAGCGGCCCGGCTTGCTCTTTCTCTGCCTTATCCCTGGACTTCTTTGCCTTTGCGACTTCTGTCTTGAGTTCCTGCATCCACCCTTTGACTTTGTCTTGGTGTGCCCTAAACTCGGCCTCGCTGCCTCCATAGTGTAGTTCAATTCTTTTTTCCCGGTACTTCGGCCACCGGCATTCGTCCAACGGCGTAACGGCCGAAGTTTCAAACACTAACTTGCCGGTGTCTTTGTCCTTCGTACTCATGGCCTCTATCACGGAGAGCCGCTTCACTTTTCGGTTCGGGTCGTCGGTAACTGACTGCGAGGAGGAAGCCGAACCTTCCGTCGCCGAGGTCGGGGTTGATGAGGCAACTGCTCCGTGGTCTCCTGAGTCGGACAAAAGGCTGACTATGCAAGAAAAAAGCTATGTGAGTGTAAGTCTGTGATGCAGAAAATGCAAAACTGTTTACACTTGTCATGCTGGGTCTGCATCATAGGCTACTTTCATACGTGCTTTCACGTACTAGCTGCCCATGACAGGTTTTCCCTGTAATGCAAAACGAATTTGTGATGCTGCTCTTCCTACAAAGTTACACTTACACAGTTTTTTTCCTGGATAGTGATACTGGCCCGACGACTGTCTCGACCGGTCATAGACGTCCCAGATGTATCAAATGCAAATATGTCTGGGTCTGGAAACTTGTGATGCTGGTTGGCGAATGATTAGGACGCCGCAATTGCCGTTTCAGCATGACAAGTTTCTGAGGTGGTCGGTGTAGGCTATTCTGCATGACAAACTGCGTTTCCGCATGACAGAAAAGTGAGGCTGCTCTTGGGTAACGTGCATGACAGACTTGAGAGTCATGCTAGCCGAGCATGACAAATCTTGCATTCTTCCAGACCCAGACATATTTGCATTTGATAAGATGAAGACGCAGCGCCTTGTGTGGGCGGCTCGGGGACCGTCGCCTGTGCATTTCTGGTTCTGGTGGCGCTGCTTCTACTCCGCGTTCTTGACTCACGGCTACCGCGCGCAGGCGAGGCGGATCGGGTTTTTCGAGCGCCAGCACCTTGTTCTACTTCAACGGCCCCTCCTCCTTGTCCTTGACCAGTACTTCTGGGAGCGCTCCTACTCCTGGTTCTTGAACCCCTAGATGCCCCGCCGGATGTAGACCGCCGGCGTGGTCTAGCTTCTGGGGTGCTGTCGGGCAGTCCGTCTCCGGCGGACCTTGGCGTCGCCGCAGCCCTTTTGTTCTCCGACGCCTTGATGCTTTTTCCAAGATCTTTGGCAAGTATGGATTGCAAATGTGCCAGGGTCTGGAAGATTGCAAGTTGTCATGCTGAACCTGCTGAATCAGGGAAAAAATCTGTGTTGCATGATTGCCAAAAGTTGTCCACTTTTGACCAACTTGAGAGGAGAAAGAGGCTTTTTATGCAGGATAGGCATTCGAAAGATCTCACTGAATCTGTCATGCTATGTCCTACATACCAGACCTCATGGGTCATGGAAAACCTGCATGACAAGTCTGGCACGCATTCTTTCAGACCCGGACAGTATATTTGCAATGCATATCAAGGCCATCTCGACGAAGATCTCCTCCCGGACCACGGCCGCCTGCGCTACCGCCATTATCTCCGCCCGGGCCACCACCGCCCCCGGGTCCATCATCATGACCTCCTCCCGGACCACCGCGCTCGGGATCGCTGCCGCCTCCTCCGGCGGTCCGGCAGCGCCGAATGTCATATGACCGCGAGTTTGTCGTCGTCCCAGAGCTACTATGAAATGCAAAGATGTCTGGGTCTGGAAACTTGTGATGCTAAAGTATGGGTAAATCTGGCACTCTCCAGTCGTGCAGCGAAGCATGACAAGTTTACTTGACGCCGTCTGATGCGTAGGTAGCACGCATCACAAACACAAGCTGCCGTTCTGCATGACGAAAGAGTGGCGCCTGTCGTGCTGGCTGTGCAATACAGGTTTTTCAGCATGCAACACAACTTCCACTTTTCCAGACCCAGACATATTTGCAATGGATAGCTACTGGCAGCTTCCGATCCATGCGCCGCGCCAACGCTACTTGTAGATGACTGCGCGCCACTACAGTGATCTTATGCACTGCAAAAGTATCGCACTCGTACGAATTGCAGTGACCTGACTGCAACTATGCAGTCACGCAGCACAAGTCTCTTCTTAAGGTGAATAGACATATACAAGAAATTCCATTTCCCATGCTGGGAAAATTTAATGTCGCGCGATTTGTACTAATATGAGTACGATGCTTTTGCCATGCGTAGATCTTCCGGCGGAACGGCAACAGTGCCAGAAGAGGAGCCTGCACCTGCTCCACTGCCAGCGCCGCTATTACCACTTGCGCTTCCGGAGTATGGAAGCGTCAGGATTGAAATCGTCAAAGTTGAAATAATTTGTGATGCATAAAATGCAACCCGCAAAGCGCCTGTCTTGCAGAGTAGGCAAGGGAGGCATATTGCAAGCCTGTTGAGGGGTAGAAATAGAGCTGCTAAAGTAGCATGACAAAAGGCGTCTTCCTTACCCAAACAGCATTACAAACTGGATTTAGGCACCACCAAAACTTGTCATGCGCCACTTGAAAACTGGGCTCCAACTGGCATCCATTTTATGCATGACAAACTACTTCAACTCTGACGATTTCAAACCTGACACATCCATACGGAGGCTCGCGAAGATTGTGACGGGACAATCGTTTTGGACATCGGTGTATCCTGTGCAAAAGTATCGTAGTCGTACTAATCGCATTCTTGCATTACAAATTTCTTCCTCAGGTTAAATCCGCATTACAAATTTTATTTCTCATGCTGAGGAAATTTGTCATGCGATTTATACTAGTACGATGCTTTTGCATTGCATACGGTGCCCCGAAAGGATTGGGGTTGCCGCTGCTTCCTCCATCGCCAGAAGACACGACAAGAGGCTCAACATGTATGCCCGGCGTTCCAGGCGTGTCTTATGATGTTGAAAACAGTTGTCCCTCCTGTCGCACCGAACAGGCGAAGCCCCCTCACCGGGCGATCAGCCTCAGGAATACCACACGGAGCTGCAATACAATTATTGCACTTCTTGCCTCAATCGGTTCAAAGGCTGTCGCGCTACTTTCAGTTTTATTGTCCACAACACTTTTGCAAAATAAAATCAAAATAACTACAAATAGAGTGAATTGCTGTATATATTGTCTGCGGTCTTCGTGGTCCTGCGAACAAAAATGAGACGACTGTTTGCAATCTCGTATTGTCAGTGACAGATGTTGGAGCATGTCCCCCTTGGCATCCCGCAGCGGCGGCGCGGGCGCGGACTTTGGGATGTATCAAATGCAAATGGGTCTCTGTCTGGAAGGTCACAAGACTTGCCATGCAGGTTTTCCATGAGCTTGGGCCATGCGGCCTGACATACATGATCCAGCATGACAGATTCTGTAGCATCTCTATCATGCCTCTCCTAAATGGGATATTACTGCCTCTCAACTTAGTCAAAAGTGGACGCCAGCTTTTTGTACTTAATCACGCAACACAGATTTTTGCACCATCCAGAGAGAGCGTCACAAGTTGCAGCGTTCCAGAGGACCCAGACATATTTGCAATCCATAGGGTGACCACGTCAGGAACACGCCGTCCCTCCGATCCAGACACAGCTTCTCCGAAATCAGCGTATGGGAGCGTCAGGCCCGAAATCCACAAAGCTGAAATTATATATAGTTTCCCATTCATAAAGATAAATAAATGCAACGCAAAACCAAGTGATTCTAGTGCGGAGGACGCAAGGGAGGCAAATTATAGTCGTCTTAAGGATGGCGAGTTGGGCTGCTGACTTCTAGGATGACAGAAGGGAGTTCAGTTCCTTTGCCCTAAACAGCATGACAGACTGGCTTCCGGAACAAGGAAAATTTCTCATGCGCCGACTATAAAGTGTGGGTCTAACTGGTATCGATTTTATGCATTGCAAGTCCTCAACTTTGTCGATTCCAATGAAATCTGATAAGCACCCCCATACAGCATCAGGGGAAAATAGTGGGACTGGCGGAAGCGGTATCCAACAAAAAAACATTGTAGGTGTAACTTTTTTGGAGGAACAGCATTACAAATTTGTCTGGCATGACAGCAAAAACCTGTCATGCGCAGATAGTACGTGAAAACGCCTTTTAATAGACCCTACCATGCATGCTAAGCATGACAGACGCAATCATCTCGCATGTTGCGCATCACAAATTTACACTAACAACGTTTTTTTCTTGGATAAGCGGTCCTCGGGCCCTCTTCTTCGGGTTACTGTTCTTGCTGCGGCTGCCGGCGGACGATATCCTCTTCTTCGGGTTACTGTTCTTGCTGCCCGCGGACGATATCGAGCCATATCAAAATGGAAAATCGCCCCTCCCCATATCAAAACGGAAATCTGTGATGCAGATTTGTTGTTACAAATCAGCTTTGTCATGCTACACGGGAAAAGATGCGGACTGTAGTGCTGGGTGGCGTGGGGGAGCCTTGCATCTTCAGCATGATAGGAGGCAGCTGAGAGTGGGAAACAGCATGACAAATTGCCTGCAAAAGGGACCACGACTGCGGCTCTTGGCCTTCTAGCATGACAAGTCGATTTGGTACCTCAAATCCTGCATCACAGATTTCCATTTCGATATGGGGAGGGGAGATTTTTCCTTTTGATAAGCCACGCTTCGTGTTCGTCCCCTCTTTGCCTTTCCTTCCGTTATTGGGCGAAAGGTCGCCAGCCGATGGTACTGTAGATGCCGTTGATGCGATTGAGTCACGGCGGGGGCGCTTCGAAGGCCTGTTATACGTTTTCTTAATATTTGCGATAGCAAAAAAGTTTGGCCTTCCCATCTATCGGGGTGGTGGTGTGCGGCTTTATTCGCCATACCGAAGCACAGCGCGACCATGCTTCGGTCCATGCAATCAAAAAGAAAAACAATGGCCCTAATTGTAATTTTCTGCATCACGCGTAGCCAAAATAGAAACCAAACAACACGGGCGATACCCCTCCAAGCCCCCCCGCTTGAGGTCCGGCAACTTGTTCCCCAGCGCGTTTAGGCTTTGTCCGCCGGGGCCGCCCACGTCAGAACCACCGTCGCCTGGAGCGCTATCGCACAAAAAAAAGCATTTTTCTATTGTGTTTTTGGATGTTTGGTACTATGATAATGAAAAATTCACATCGCTTGTTGAGCCACTAATGTGACAAACAAGGCTCGCTTCCTATCAGAAAAACCCGAGCTGCTTCTTTCTACTTACTTTATGCGGCCCAACAGGAAAAATGTTTGCGCGAATTAACACCCGTCACGCTGCAGCATCATACATGGAATACGTACAAGGCAAACTCACAGTTGTGAAAAATATATATTTTTTTGTGGATACGCACTCCCACCATGACTGTATGAGAGTACACAACTACCCCTCGTCCCCCTCCTGTGTAATATGGCATGAGCAGCAATACAAACTCAGATACATGTGGGTGTGGACGCTGCGCACTACAAATGCATGCGCTGGGTGTAGTAATGTTTGGGCTTCCAGAATCTATAATCCAAACAGCGCCAGAAGGCAGCAAGAACAGGAATATTTGGCATTTTGCATTGCAAATGAGGGGGAGGGGGGGTTGTGTAATCTCATAGACTGTGGGAACGCCCACCGCCATTCCCACTACCGCCGCCAGCACTACAGCCGCCGCTACCACTATTTCCGCCGCCACTGCCACTGCTGCCTCCGCCGCTGCCACTACTTCCGCCGCCACTGTTACCGCCCCCGCCGCTACTGCCACAACCACTACCGCCGCCGCCGTTACCACTACTGCCGCCGCCGCTGCTACCGCCGCTACCACTACCGCCGCCACCGCTGCTACCGCCGCTACCACTACCGCCGCCACCATTATTGCCGCCGCCACCATTATTACCGCCGCCACCATTATTGCCGCCGCCTCCACTACTTGTACTGCCGTTGTTACGGCGGCGGGTGCCATTGCGGGTTTGTGGAGCACTCGAAGAGGAAGCTGCTGGCGCGCCACCAGCTGCGCCCGGTGGCTGCGTTGTATGGCGGTCTCAGCTGTTACACTCCCAACTGTATACATGAGGAGTAGGGTTTATTATTACTGATGCAAATAGATGAAGGGCAAAAGTGAAAGGGGGGTGGGCGTATAGGCAAGTCGGACCAGATCGAACGAATGCGATTTGAAGAAAAGCAAAACAAGGTCAGGAAGTGAAGGCATGGCGATGGTGGTGATGGTACTGAAATAGGACCGGGCCCAATTAGGAAGGAACCACGCACACATCACCTCAACGTAGCCATTTTGGCTCACGCTCAGGGTTCTCGAGTATAACTTCAGGACGAAGAAGGAAACTAGATAAAGAGTCTTAGAGCGCTACGGCAGAACGCTAGACAGAGGCAATGCACCCATTTAGGCCCTTATTGTTCGAATTCCAACCCCCACTAACATTGTAGCTTATCTGCTTCGCTCGTAGATTTCTCGGTCTGGTTTGTGTGTCTATGTTGCATGTTCGCACAGGAAACCTTGCGCGCCTTGCATGAAAAATTTGGCACAGATTCTTAACAGCCTGCTTTGCCCTTCGAGAATTTGTCATGCGAAGCAGCTTGGTCGCTCGTGTCTATTCTGATTGTAACTTTGCTTGAGGACAACGACAAGTCATGTAACAGTTGAGAATGTAACGTGTAAGAACGCCATACGTTGAAGCTGGCGGCCCCATCCGAGCTGGGTGTTGAGAGGAAGGATCCGAACTTGTCGTACCGGGTGTGGACGAAGCTCTCCCCACTTGTTGTCGGGCGTCACGAGAAAGCTTGCTAGCAGCGGCTCTCACGACTTCTTCCGGGGAGAGGTTCGCAGCGCCGCTTCGTCCCCTGCCTCGCTGCTGCGACTGCGCCGCGGTTGCCCCTGGTTTGGGTCCTGCTGGTGGTTGTTGCTGGTTTGCTGCGGACGAAGTTGTACTACTGGGAGCACCGTTACCGCGCGGAGGGCTTGCTGGAACTAAGCCGGTAGCACCAAGACGATACCTGCGCCCGGGTTCTGGCCGCACAGCTGCTATCGAACTTGGCGCAGCAGCAGCTGGCCCTTCCGCTCCTCCATGCAACGATGACGACGAAGCTCCTGAGCCGTTGCGATGCGCATTCTGCGCGACGGCCGCAAAAGTGCTCGGGCCCATGGCGTTTTCAGACTGGGGCGCCGGTGCACCGGTATTTGCGGTGAACGAACCAGCGCCCGTCAGTCCTGAAGGCTCCACTAACACTGCACTTGAGGATGATGAAGATGGGCCAAAGGCGATACGCCCACCGGTCAGCGGGCCTGCTCGTCTTCCGGGCATCATCATGGCCGGCGTCGAGGCCGCAGCAG